TGTTGCAGTGTAATGCTTCTGGTTTATCTGCAGAGTAAACCAGGCAGTAAATTAGGCATACAGAAAGAACTAAAGGAAAGCTAAGATACTGTATGTGACTTTGAGGAAGGTGAAAGTAAAAAGCAATTCATATTTGATTAAGCTAAATCCATAAGAAAAAGCTACAGTTAGTGAGTTGCTTGTTTAACTGTGCCTAACTTCAGAAAGTGTTGCCTAATCACCCCCAGCAGCACATGATTTCCAAAGTCTCTGGTGGACACTCCACTCAGCAGAAAATAAACCTACCTTTTCACAAAAGACCTACACTCACAAATCAAGGGCATGTAAAAGGTATTTCATTTTTATTAATCTCATGGTGCCAGAAAATACCAAAACCTTTCTGTAAGGATAACTACATGTCTCCTGCTATATACCCTATGTACCTACAGAGGTGGACAACAGAGATCCCAATTCTTTTATCATTTTCGAGGTGCAGCTTACTGCTCAAATTTGAATTTCAGTGGTATTCTTTTTTTTTTTCTTTTGTTTATTTCTTTATTATAGTGTAGTATAAAGAGTGCCTGACTATAATTATTTTACCAACTTTTAAAGCTTAGCATGAGTAATGATATATAGTAAGCCTTTGGAAAATCTATGTCTACTGATTGTGCTTTAGAAAATCTGATTCATTATTATCTCCTACAGAATAAATCTATGATTAATACGATAACAGAAAAAAAAAGACATATATTTTAAAAAATCTTATTTTGGAAAATACTAAGCTTCTAGCAAAATATTTTAAGAGATACATTAATTACTTGGATTGCAGACTTAGATAGTTTGCCAGTGTAGCTCAGAAGTCAGTATTAGAGGGCTTCTAAACAAATGACTGTACTTCTCTACGTTGTTCCTTAATTACTTCCAGAAGTATTTTGGTTTCATTAAAATCTTAGTAGAAATGCTTTGCTTCTCTTTTTCACAAGCTCTAACAGCAATTTATTCTGTGCATTTGACATTTATGGAAAACTTCTACAGAGTATTAGAGAAGTGGAACCAAAGGGGATCATAGAAATTTAAGGAGGGAGTTTCTAACAATAAGCTAAGGAATGTAAAAGGGAGTGACATCACTGCAGTGGAATTGTTTGAATTATCCAACAGAAAACCACCACAGCGTTAAAATTCTCTAATACATTCCTCAAGAGGTACAAAATACCCGGCTAAAAAAGATGTTAACTTTTTGTTAAGTTCATTAGGACTTTTACTTGACTGGGGAGATTTGGAAATTTTCATTTCTACATCTTACTCGGTGTCAATGTCAAAAACTCAGAGCCACCTGGTTTCATTATGCTTCACTTCCTTTCACAGCTTGATCCTTTATTTGAGAACATAACTCAGATAACAATACACTCACATCCTGGTTGGACATCTCCCAGTATGGTCTCTCTCCGTAAGACATCACCTCCCAGAGAACGATCCCGTAGCTCCACGCGTCGCTGGCCGATGTGAACTTGCGATATGCAATGGCTTCTGGTGACGTCCACCGGATAGGGATCTTGCCGCCCTAAGAGCAAAACAAAAGAAAAAAGGTCCATTTGACTGTAATACAATGAAAATGGTTTTGTATGATTATTTTAAATGAAGCTTTGAGATTATCGTTGTACTCGTCCAATAAACAGCTTAAGTTCGTGAATGCTATTGCCATTTGTCATGAAAGCATCTTGCATACAACCTAGAATGAAACGCATTGCAGAGTAAAAGCTACTCAAGCTATATAGTATAGAATGCATACAGTGTGCATGTGCATATATATGTATATATACATGCACCTATATTTAAGAGTAATATAATATACATAATACTAAATAAATAGTAAGTTAAGTATTATTGATTTACGATTACAAAACGTTAGGGAACTGGTAGGGCTATCATACAGAATTAAGTACGAAATGGCTGATACTATGTCTTTACTTACATCCTAGACCCTTTGCACTGCACAAAAGGGCCAGATTTGGCTACAAATAGACATCTCAGGTGAATTCCCAGTTAGTGTACAACTTACAGAAGAATGCTTTCTACCTCATCCTAGAAGAATGAAGGGCCTTGATGCTCTTCTGTTCACCTAAGATCAGACCTCCAAATGCATAAGACTGTTGACAAGACTATACGACAAATACTACTACTAGCACATTTTAGCAGATGTCCAAATATAAATAAATACAAAAATCTGAAGAATAATAGAAAACTATGGATGGTTTTCCACCTTTATCAGTTTTTAAAATTATAAGGCTTACTACAACTAAAAAAGGCTATTTGGAAACTCCAAAAACATACATGATCATTAATCAATAAAAACATTCTTTCTTGTTTCTCCCCACCATTTTAAAGAAATACACATTTCATTTGAACACATGTATCCCGTCTTCAGTTTTCTGATTTTTCAGGATCAGAAATACCTTACACTTTAAAATCGACCTTTTTTCCCCTAGCCCATAAAGTTAGAGCTAGAAAAACTACACTTCCATACCTGTTTGTTTATTTATCTCTTGGTTGTTACCCTTTCTCCTGTTTCTCCATATTTGAGTGTAATAATATTGGTGTATAAAGTACTATTATGAAAACACTAAGAAAAGTCTACCTATATTTTTTTATTATGCATTATTTGTCCATTAGACTTCCATGCAATTGAGGCTTCTTTATCCTGACATTACAGTTGCTTATCCTCCACTGGAACATTAAAATACTGACTAATAGTATAGCCTGGTATTGCTTTCTCTTCAAAATTACTACTGTCAGGACAACATACAACATGCATCACCAGCTAGATAAATGAGAAGACATTATAGCTATGTCTCAGAAAAAGGTTTGCCCAAATGTATTTGATACAACTTTATACCAAAAAAAAAAAATTGTATCATTAGCTATAGGTGTTATATTTATTCTAAAGATAAATATTGACTTTATTTTTCTGTCATGGTCTCCATTTAAGAATAATTTCATCATCAAGTCAGATAACCTCTCTGGATTCAAGCAGGAAGAAGGCATTTGTACTAAAAGTAGTAGGAGTTCCTTACTGCAGCTCAAAATCCAAGGCAGTCTAGGTCACAGAGCCACTCTCGGGGTTTGAAATTAGTGAGCCAGCAGTAACTAAAGGTTTTATCTATGGTAGATGGAGTTGTGATTCCTACAGTATATGACTGTTCAGCATAATTCATTTCAAGCCAATGAAGTCCTCAATTTATTTCTAGAATGTCTGGCAGTACAGCACAGGGCATCTGTTTCCAGCCCTTAACAGCCCATTCCCATATTCTGATTTATAATCTGTTACAGAGTGACTATCACAAGCACTTAGCCACAGGCCTGGGGAGAAGAGAATCAAGAAAAATGGATTCTATCTGAAAAAATAGAAGAACTTTGCAGGGGAACCTGAAGGCAAAATCTTGACATTCATTCGTTATGTGAGGACTTTGGCTTAATTCAGGACATGTCTTACTGGTACACAGCAAGATGGCTTCATCTGAATGATATCAGTTTGACTTATCGTCATCAGGACTTGAAAATTACCTGAACCTCCATACTCATCCTTTATTAATGACTATTTTAGTTTGCAATTATCTCCCTCTCAAATGGTAAATAATAATAGAGCACTCCCCTCCCAGGTGAAAAGCAACATTCTGTTTTTGCTTTTTCTCCAAACTCTTTGATTCATTCACATTGCACTCTGGTCTCTTTTTCCTATACAGAAAATGAGTTAGCTGCGATAAATTTCCATTAAATAGATGGATAGCTGCAATAGTGTATGCACAAAGGAAAGGAACTTCTTGAGATAGAACACCTTCTTTTGGCATGCAAACGAGCAGTGCCCTTCCATACTCTCCCTGCTCTAGTACAGTTACTTGAAGATACAGGTTGTCAGAATATTTATTTTCACAGCACAATATTTTTCCAAGTGATGCAGATTTAATGAGAACTGGGTTATGCATGCAATTCAATAACTAGACAGTTTTGCATTTGAATGTCACGAACATCAATGATGTGAGCTACTGTATGTGTTTAAACCACTGAAATTTATCGAGTGATTACTAGAAATATTATGACTTTGAGTGACATGATTACCATTATTGTACATGTGTGATGGCTTAAATTAATTTCCAGTTCATACTGCATGATTAGTCCACCCACTTGGCATATGGACATCCAAAAATAATAAGAAATTAAAAAAATCAACTTGACAGTGACAATTTTAATACACCCTTGGCCTTTCAAATAAAATTAAACAGGTACAGAGACTGTAGATAATTACAGTAAGTTCCCTCTAGCATAAAACCTTGGTAAAAAACAAAAAACAAAAAACAAAAATCTAATCTGCCCAATTCACACACTCGGTTCTGCTTTTTTTTAAGCAAGCAGACCATATAGGCTGCTGAAGGTCTTCTACGGTATCAGTGACAGTAAACCAGGAGTTTCAACTCCTGTTTTCCTTTTATTTCACGCATTTGTGATGTTATCACAGAAATCACATCTGTGATGTTTGCACCATGTCTCAGAGCTCTCATACCATAGCACGTGCATTATTGATTATTTACTGATACAATATACACATTTATACAACTTATGGAAATCTCCAGGCACAGCTTCCGAGAACAGAGCAAGGTAAGATTCCACCTGCTTAGCGGTGCTTGCTTAAAGCCTGGAGGGCTAACTGGGCTCTTTTTTGAGGTGGGTAGAGAGGGATAATATCCAGAGATGACAACATGTCACCAGGTATGATGGGAAAAGCCTGGGTGTCAAGAAACATAGCTGAGCTCTGTCTCAACTGAGGGAAATGGGCTTTATGGAGAGCTTCATACTCTGGCTTCCCCGTTGCTTAAGCAAGCTGGAGAATGAATACATCCTCAGGAGCCTCTTCTAACCTGTTTACACTTCATATTTACTTCAAGGGAAACCTGAAGTCCTGTCCTTCTCTCAACAAAGTCAAGATGTGGCAAAGGTAACACATCTGTGGTTGGTATTCAGTAACCAGCCTTTCAGAGAGGGCCAGAGTGCCCTTGCTCCTCAGTGTTCAGTCAGCTTTGGTGGCCTCCCTGCTTCTTTTGTGAACCCTGATGTTTGCTTTAAAGCACTAGTCTATTTATCTTTTGAGGGAAAATAGATTTGTCCAATGCTGCATTTGGGGATTTTAATTACCTGAGCATCTCACTGCAGCAGTATGCACACATATCATTAATGCCAGATGGAGTTTACAGATGAATATACTTTACAAAATGTTTTCTTTCCATCTGATTTCATTATCTAAATGTAAATAACCAGGTAGGCTTAGAAAATAGGTGGCAGAAGGAAGGGAAGAAGACAACTTCAACAGTGTACTTGAACAAGGGAATCTTAGATGTAACACTGACCAGAAACATTGATATCCTATAAATCTTGGTTTACTCTAGCCCATCTGGGAGATAAATTATTTATACGCACTTCATTTTCAGAGCAGTCCACTTCCTTTAGAAAGCTGTACACTATGTAGTTTGATGGGCTGCTGCTTTCTCTTGCCATGCAACTTTCTTGTCTAATTTATCTGGAACTCATCCTCGGCTCTTAACGTACTCCTCTAAATGGCCTTAACAAATTATAGATCAGTTTGCATGTCCAGATGTATTTTGGAATAAGAGAATTTAACTTTTAATACTGGCAAAGGTGTATCTGAGTAGAATGTGAGGCAACCATGTTGCAAAGCTTGGAAAAACGAACAAAGAAAAACAAAAGAAAGAGGGGTTCTCACTCAGGGGGATATTTATGGAAATGTCATGTAAAAGAAACAAGAAAGAGTTCAATGTGGCATTTTTGCTGCAAGTGTTTTAATTGTATGCAATTTTGGATGTCATATTTAAGGAAAACGTCCAGAAGTTGAAAAGAATCCAAAGGAGGCCAGGAAGAATAGTAGGAGTTTGAGGGAAAAAAAAGACTTAAAAAAGAGTGGCTGCCTGTGTGTGAAGAACACAACAATTTTCATGCACCTATGTGGCTGTTTTAAAGACTGATCACCTGCCCCTGTGCAGTGAAGGTAAAGTGAAGAGTAATCACCTTAGCTTGCAGGCACACGTTGTGGGAAGAGAAGTTTGATAAGAGACCAGATAAATCACACATCTGAAATTGTTTACCCAGGAGACACTAGCACTCATTACTATCTCAGGAGTTTTTAAGAAGAGCTCAGGCAAGTACATCAGACAGGTACATATCTGCCTCAGAGAAAGACAACAGGCTGAGCTATGGAGGATTCTTTCTCGAGGAACTCCTCATTTATGTTATTATTTCCCATGAATGCTTTCAGTGATCGTGAAAACTGCCCTCTCCTACTAACACATTTATAATGACCACAAGAGATCTGTGCAGATCTATAAAATAGCATTTTGTTCTATAAAATAGTATTTATTTCACATTTCTAAACACATGCTTAAATGTATCAGAGGTCAAAGAAAGCACAGCAATGTGAGGCAAAGAAAAGATTTCAAAAGCTATGAAGGTATGTTCCCTATATTTTCCTGGAAAACTCATATTAAGATTTTTTCTGATTTATTCTGTAATCTGGTATGCACAGTGAAGACTGGATTTACTAGGCATCATTGCAAATTTTACTTGACTGGATGTTAATGCCACTTTTTATAAAGTTAATGAAGTGCACTTGCAATTGCATTAATGTGAACAAACAAACATAAATCCATTGTAATGCTTAGACAAACAAAGCCTTTAGGGTTTTGCCAATAAAACACATAGTATTTTAACAGACAGACAATGCAGTTTTTAAAAGGCTACTGGCTAAGGCAACACAGCAGCATGAAGGTTGCTTTTCAGGCAAGACGAAATCAAGAAAAGAAACAGGAAACAGTCTACACTTTTAGCAGCTCTGTATTTAATAAAACCTCTTCCTTCAGGATGAAATAGTCAGAGTCATGCCTCTTCCCTGATGTCATGACTCCTCCAACTTGCTTTTGCAGACATTTCCAACATCTATGTACAATCTACACAGATGTATTTCTCTATATTTTTTTTCCTTTCATCATCTAAGAGATATGAATAACAAAAAAGAAAGTAATGGCTGTACTGAGTTTATGGTTTATGGACAGAATATCTCTGGCCTTGGAAGGATGACCTCTGTGTCACAGAGTGTGAGCCTCAGGGACTCCCTCAGATATCAGACCAACTTTGTGATGACAGAGCAACCAACATGCAAACTCACCCTTGTTGTGTATGCAGCTTCTGGGTCATCTTCTAACACACGGGAGAGGCCAAAGTCTGAGACTTTGCATACGAGGTTACTATTGATGAGGATATTACGAGCAGCTAGATCTCGATGGACGTAACCCATATCTGATAAGTATTTCATGCCAGATGCGATCCCTCGAAGCATGCCTACTAGCTGGATGACTGTGAACTGTGCATCGTGTTTCTGGAAAACATTTGAAATAAAATGTGAAAGACTGTCCATGTTCCTCCCAACACAGAATTTTTGATAGTTTCTGAAAGTCTCTCAAGTGAAGAGCTTGTGAGTTGGAGACCATGACTGAGATGCCACGTGAGGAAATACTTTGATTTGGTGAAAATATTCTCTGAATTAGCTGGAGGTAAGGAGACAGATTTTTAATTCAGATAAGATTTTTTTCTGTTCTTGCTCTTATCTGAATTTCAGTTTGCTAGACGGGACCTATGTGTAAGTGGGACATAAATCTAAGTTGTGTGTACTTTTGACTCTGGAATGTCAGGACACTAGGAAAACAGATGTCCAGCTTTCTTAAAAAGCCATAGGAATTGCTAGTGAAAGAAACCACCTCAGCCAGCAGACTCATGGAAGTTTTCTATCACATAAGCATTTCTTTAACAAAAGCAAATACTGATCTAATTCACAAACCTCCAAGTTCCATGAAAATGTAAACTCATTCCTCAATGTTTTCCTCAACTTCACAAAAAACCCCTTTAACACACTATGATTTAGCCTAGAAACCAATAGTTGCATATATTTATACATGTCTACCACTAGACAAATGTTTTAAATCTCCCCGTTCTTGCTAATGTTCTTTATTAACATCTACCTTTGATATTGATATATGAATACACAGATGACAAGGCAACACTATGTCTTAGAACAGCTCTCAAATGAATCTCCCAGTGCTATAAATGTATCATCATAGGCAGCTCTCCAGCTTTTCCTGTGCTTCTTCCAGAGTTTTATTAAATACATAGGAGCTGGCTCTGCCATGTGGCGCGAGCTCACCTGAATCAGTCCACAAGACTGATTATACTCATTCTTTTCTCGCCTAATATACTTAGAGGCAATATTAGCTCTGTAAACATTAGAAAAATATATGGCACAATGGCTGCTTAAAGAACCTGTCAGAATTCATATTCATGAAGAAATTATTTATTACAGAAAATTCCTAGCAGTTCCCTATTAGGAAAACTTCTTTAACTAGAGCCAAAACAAGAGGATCTATATTCACCATGAAAAAGATTTAGTTATAAATTCTAAAAAGGTTTATAACCATGAAAGGAATGAGGTGCTGAGCCTTCCAGTGGTAATGGGGAAAAGCCATCCAGTTTCAACAGGTATTTACAGCTTAGGGTTACATGACCTGAGTTGTTTGTGATATTAATGAATCACAATGTTCTTGCCCTATGTTTTCATGCAATGATAATCAAAAAAAAAATCCCACACTCAAATGAGTATGTTGAACAACAGTTTCATATAGTCAGACATTACTCTCTTTTCCTAAGAACTTTCTCCAAGGATTTTCAGCCTAAACAAAATGTATATCGTTCAGTACGGATATATTTCATGCAGATATACTGACACATTATTTATATGTATTTCACATGCTTCAATGGACATCATAACATATATAGTATATATTGAAACTAGAGCTGACAATATATCCCCTTCTGGGGTTAAATGTCTAGTTCAGTGTTATGAATTTGGGGGATAATGTCATTCAACCGTGGCAGAACTAATGCAGTCCTCCAGTCACAGTTGAGCTTGCTCTAACAAATTAAAATTAAAGTAGTGTTTTTCCTCAGATGGGATTTCATTTCTGCCACACTTGTTTTTTTGCCTCAAGTAAATCTTGGTGACACAACGGGCCTTCACCTTTTTTTGGGCTTGTTACCAACTTTGACCACAACCAAAGATAAATCAATAAACAATATTGGTATGTCCAAGTTTGAGGAAGGAGAACAGGCTAATAAAGTTTTCTAGCAAGATATTTCAAACACACAAAGGTCATTCCCTAAACTTTTCACATTTAAATTCTTGGTTCTACATGATTAGGTTACCGTTAACATCTCCACAAATTCGTTCACTCTGGAAATGAGCTGATAAGACATACAGGCTGACAACCAGTAAGGGTAACAACATTACAGTAGGAATTCAGCCCCCAGAAAAAAAAAAATCTTTTTAATGTGTCAGAATGACTTCTCTTTAAAGACACGATACGTTAATAAAACTAACAATTTCTTCAGTTCATTTTGGAATAATACAGCTGGCAAAGAGTCAAAATGGAATAGCAGATTTCTACCTGGCTTTGTGGCCACATCACAATACACGCAAAGCCAAATGGAAATAATGAAATATCAAAGAACAATGAGTTCATGATGAATCAGAGTAAGAGTGCCAGGAAAATTCACAACAAAGTCAGAACAAGAGCCAGTCCTCTATCATGCAGTTATCCACTGCACTTACCCGTAGGAAGCTATCCAAGGAACCATTTTCCATATATTCAGTAACAATCATAACTGGTTTACCTGCAAGTAGATTACAGAGGTCAAGCATTTAAAATAAATACATGATGATAAGTAAAAATGGATATTTCAGAAATCCCAAGGATAATTTTGCCTTTAAAAAGAAAGAAAAAAAAAAACATGCATGGGCAAAAAAAGCTCTGTCCACAATATTACTATGATTCCACTGACGTATACAGGAAAACAGTCAATCCAGCATATATTGATATAACTGTTTTAATAGCTTAAGTCCTAAAAAAGCAAGCAAAGCATCCCAAATTTTCAGTATACAAAGACTTAACTAATGCAGATGCACTTAATGCTTGCATTTATGCAGTGAAGCAGGCGTAGCCTGCCCCGTGTTTGCCTCCAAGTCTCCTCAGACTCTGCTGCACAGGCACATTCAATACATTGCTCAGATACTGTGGTCTCCAGGCAGTTGCAGCTCCTCGCGTGGCTGGTCAGGTGAAGATCACTGGTACCATCTACCTTCCCTCCTGGCACACACGGCTTGGCCATGGGCAGAACGCAGTGCATTTATGGGGCAGCAGAGCACTCATTAAAGAAGCAGCTCTGCATCCCTGAGAGCCTCTAATTAAATATCTTTCAAAACTTGTCTGCATAATCTGAGTACACACTGCAGTCAGGTCAGTTTGTAAAATCCTTCTTTCTACCTTAAGGTATTTTGCAATGCAGTGAAGGATTTGTGTGGAACTTCTACGTGATGGAGAGAAAAGAATACAAAAATTATTGCTACTATGGGGAAGTTTCCAGAAGGTCATTGCCCTGCTAATATTTTACAATCATGCAGATTTTATTATTTCATAGCATTTTCAAAACTTTTCTTTATTTTCTCTTTGTGGTGGAGAAAATAGGTAAGAGCATGAAGCTATTTAAGAAGATGAATTATCATTTCACATGTAACATAGGAAGACATGTTGACGGTAAAAATATGATAAAGACATGTAGATCAGGCACAATAACATCTTAGCTTGCAAAATTGAACAGCCTGAGGCTTAAAAGAGGTATCTGGTCTAATTAAAAACAAGAAAGCAATAAAAAAATCTAAGTGGCGGCAACTCTTTCTTTTTTTTCCCCCCAGAACAGCCCTTTTACATTTCTTAGAAAGTACAATTTCCACCAAATAGAGCTTCTTAGAATTAAAAAAAAATTGATTTTGAAGAATTGGTTAAATATAAGCAGGAGAAAATCCTCTGTCCTCTCTGCATGGACTAATGGGCTAAAATCTATTCCTTTTGATGTGCAACTGATGTGTTATATCATTGGAGGCACTCTAATGGGCGAGGGAGTTGGTCACCCAGGAAACAGTGGGGACAGATTATCTAAACTTCAATCTTGAAATATTTAAGATACGATACAGTTAAAAGGCTGAAGAATGAAAGATATACCAAAAAATGTTGTTTGATTAGTCTTGTTAGCAAGAAACATGTAATCTGAGAAAGAGAATTTAGACTGTGTCTGCAACATTAATTCAAAAGGCATTTCTGGTAATCTACAGAAAATGATGCTGGATATTCAAAGTACAGTGTAGCATCCTAACAGGGATATCTAAAACTTTATATGATAAATTCATGTAGTAATAAAATCAGGAGACAGTATTATGCATGGCGACTCTACAAACTCAGTCAATTTTATGGCATGTAAGAAGACTGAGATTAGAGTAAAATGATAAATCTGTCAAATTATTAAAAGAGCATTTTCTTGACTTATTTATTCATCCATATTCAGAATGCCTTAAGTGCAGGGTTTCGCTCACATTCAGTTGGAAATGCGTCCGTAATAAGAAGCATATGTTCTGAAGCAGCACTGTGTAGTTCTAAAAGAACATTCTGCATTCATTTATCAAAACACGGCCGTATATACATGATAACAACTTGTGTCAACAGTGTTGCCGAAATTTATTATACTAACAGGCTACAAATTGCTGTAAATTATTAGTAAACTAAGCAGAACATGTGTGGTGGTTATTAAGACTACTGCCTACAGGGCACCCACGAGACCAGTGTAGCAGGCAAGCTCAGAACAGAAATCAGTGTGAAGCAAGGGAATATTTCTGCTCCGGAGCAAAGGGCTGAGGTCCTGTTCAGAGGGTGCCCCCCTTTCCTACCTCCAGTGTGTTGTCAGCCATATCATATCACCGCAATAGTTCTCATATCAAATGGTCCTGTTCTGGAGACCCTGGCAATGGCAGCTCTTAGGGGTTTCTTCACAAGACCTACTTAGCACGAAATGTTAGTTCACTGCTAAGGGCCGCCAGTCAGAAATAATCTGCTTATGGAAGAAAAGGTCACATTGTCCATTTATCACACATTATCTGTGTTGAGAGAGATCCAGCAAATACTTCACAGGCTATTTACTGATTGCACAGTAAACTACCACACTGGAGTGTGATTTATAACCAATCATTAAAAAATATGAAACCTTGCTAATTTGTCATTAAAATATATTGGTTGAGTTAAAAAATAAATAAAAATAAAACAACTAAAAACCTTCTTGCCTTTCCACTGCCTTAGGGAATGTTAAATAAAAATAAATGAGGACCTTTACTTGCATTTATGTCATAAAATCTTACACAGCAAAATGGATACAAATAATTCCAAGCTAAGGAAGCAAGAAGAGTAGAGTGGTTTTCCCAAGTCATGTATTACTATTTAAGATATTTGGAAAAATTTCTGCTGACTTGAATGCAACAGATCTTAGATCTTGCTCTCTCATATTATACTTAAAGTGATAAGCATCTGGAATTCCAAATGACTGCTGAAATAGATAGCAGCCTGTTGTGAATGCAACAGCTACGGAACAATATTATTAACATTCATTTACAGAACACAGGAAGACATCTATTCAGAGTCCATTTTTAATGCACATGCAGAAGCAATGCACCCAATTGTGCAGGCAGAGCAACTAAGCTAGTTTCAAAAGCGCCACATGAAGAGAAAAATGTAACGAAATTTCTTTTTTAAGAAATTTGGGAAAGACAACTGTAATTCTGACTCCACAAAGTAGGTGCCATTAAAAATCAGATCTGTACACCCACATCTGGTAGTCCTTTCCTAGGGACTAAGACACCTAAATTGAAGAAAAAATTATTTAAGTCACCAAAACAGACTTTTGTGAATCACACCCAAAGAAAACATTGTTAAGATAACTGTGCGTCTTCAGAACATGCAGGATTTTACAAACCTTTGATTGTTTGACAGCATTTTTTAAAATTCATATACTTCACCTTACTAAGCTGTAAATTTCTTGCATCCATTCATGAATGCAAACATACGTATGTTTGTAAACCTTTGCGCCATGCAGTTAAAAAAGAAAGTTTCCTTAAAACACAAAATCATTTACTTAAATTATTCTATGCATTTATCCCCGGTTAAACTGAAAGAGTCTTCAGCACATTTCAAGATAGTTCACTGAAACTGCAAGAAGCTGTTCTTTCTAAATACCTGTTTTATTGGCAAAGTCCTCTAGGCTTAAACACTCCACAGAATTTTAAAATCCCTCTTAGGAAATTGAGAATACATCAGACCTTATTGATCTTCCACCCAACAATTACTACTGGATTTGGACCATTAAGTTGATCACCTGATGACGCAAAGTCAATTTACAAAGTGATGTTGAAGTCTGTGAATTGCTGTGTCCCAAAGCAAGAGAGCTCTGGTATTTCATGCAACCTTTGTACCCAGCATATTTGTCTTTCCATGTCAAGATAGATGACAACCAGTGGCATAGGCAACAAGAACCAGGCTTAGCTAAAGAAGCCAGCATCTCAACATTCACCCACACCACACAGCCTTCTTAGCTCCCTGTAGTCTTTTTTGAAGAATGCTTTGCACATATTATGAGGGTTATGACATAAAAAATACTGGAAGGATTTGTGGAACATAAACGCTGATGATCCCATTCATTTTATTCTATTTTATGCTTCCAAGGAAAATCAGAGAATCATAGAACAATCAAGAGATATCCAGAAGTCAAACTCCTCACTTTAAACAGATGCCCCCACTTTGTATCTTACTTTTAGTGACAACTCCCTCTAGACGAATGATATTAGGGTGGTCAAATTGCCCCATGATGCTTGCTTCTCCTAGGAAATCTCTTCTCTGTTTTTCTGTGTAGCCAACTTTCAGGGTTTTGATAGCCACAGAAATTTCCCTTTTAGAAGGCAGCTTTAGGCGTCCACTGCACACTTCCCCAAATTCCCCTAAAAGCGAGGAAGAAAGACAAAAGATCAGCTTTCAATAAAAGATTAGCATTCAATTAAAGTTCTTGAAGTGTGATATTTACTGGTAGGCCAGAGACCTGAGTGCCAAACAGACAACTCTAACTCTGTTCTCCAGCTTCATTTCTGCCAAAGGGAGATTGTTCAGTTTCCAAGTATTTTACTTTTTTTTTTTTTTTTTAATATTTCACCTGAAGTAAAAAGATAATTCACAGCAAAAGAATGCATCCACATAAGTGCCTGATGAAAAAAAAAATCTGTAAAGATTACTTTTACTCTATCATTTCTTAGCTAGTATGTAATCATGCAAATGTACACTGCCACGACAGGCCCACTGGACTTGATAGCCCACTGTGAATTCCTTGAGATCCCTAAATAGAAAACAGAAAAATCACTGAATTATTACTTTTATATAGCATGGCTTAACATTTGTTATGCCACTCCCAGCAAGAATGCCTAAGTAATTTTATCTTACCATTCAAATCAAAAATTTCTCAAAATGTGAGATCTAAATGCAAAAACAAACGAACAAAAACCCAAAAGCTCATCAGCCATTTTTGTCAAGCAACCTTGAGGAGAAAGTTTTTATTGTAAACAAACAAGCCTTACAAACCTAACTCTAGCTAGCATCATTTTCATGCAAATTTGGTTTTATTTGCAAGTGAAACATCATGGAAAGAGAGATTATACTGTTTATACATGAGAATTTCCCCACTTAATACATAATGATCCTAAATGCAATACCATTACTAGGCAACTACACAGCAAAGGCTCAGGGAGCACATTTGCCCAACAACAATTCCCTCTTTATCTGCACAGCTGATTGTTTATATTAAGCAACATCTGTGAAAACTAAAGTGGACCAGAAAGAATATAAATAAGACATTCTTAATAGACAAATTTAAATAATGTCACTTTTAGTGAATTTAATGCTTAGAAAAGTGTGCTGGATTGGCAACCCTGCACTGAAATGCTCCTGAACTATTGGTCTTCAGAGATCACACAGGATCCATTTTATATTCTACCTTCAGCCCATCCATTGTAGACTGAAATTTTTCTTTCATCAGTTTGTCAATGTGACACTGCAATTCAAGAAGGACAAAAGGAGCAACAACTAGAATCTTAAAAATCAGGACTGTGTGTGCGTTCCTGTTTAAGGCTCAAGGAATTAGGGCTATTTATATACAACAAGGATTGAGGGAAGAGAGACATGATAACAGTGTGAACATCTGGAAACCATGGCTATAAATAAGGTGGGCAACAACTCCCCAAAAATGTTTTAAATTACTATAAAAGTGAGTTGTGTTAGAAAAAAAATCCAACACTAAGGACACGTAGACAGTAGTAAAGGCTTCTTAGGCAGACTATGAATACTTCATCTGGGAGACTGCAAGGAATCTATCGAGAATGGTACCTAACAAGTCCTGGTTTGGGCAAGGAGATGGATTAGGTAGTCTGTCAAGGTCGCTTTTCACCCTATTTCCTAAAATTCCTCTGTTAGACATATAGTTTAATTGAAAAACTGAACAAATACCTCATATGGCAATAACCTTTCTCTATTGGTAACCTGGGCCAGATCGGAGTCAACAACACAGAAGTCTCCATATCTTATTACTAGCTACTGATATGCCTTATCCTCTAAGCATGATATCATGCTGCTAATGTAATAACTTCCAAGATTAAAAACAGCATATATCTTTAGATACACAGGAACATACTAGTCAAATAGCTCATTACATCCCCTGTTTCTAATGTTATAAGTATTTCACAGTGACAAGATAGTCAACAGTTCAGAAAATAAATTGTAAAAGCTATTACTAGTAACTAAAGGGTGTTGAGTTCTAGTCAGACTTCTTAATTAAAAACTTTCAACATCTGCGAGCTAAAATGGCCAATATACTTTCTTAAAAGCAAACGCTGCCTCAGTTCAAATACTAACCCCTGCTCAGTACTGTCAGAACACCACAAAGAGGAAGACCAAAGCATATCTTTAAAAGAACAGGAAGGGAAAAAAGTGCTTAAAATAAACCTTGCGATGCCCAGGTTGGTATTCATTTTTCTATACATCTTAACAGCTCCAAAAGCTGTAACAAGCTAGACTCTGAAAACTATTGTTCATTCACTGTCAGTGGAACTTATGTCTATGACTTTGGCAAGCAACTAATCCTTCATTTCTGACCAGAATCAGGAATAAGGTGCTCATTTGTCACCTGACTTTTGGGAATAAGAAGGTTATGAGTGACACGCATCACCTCTGCCCCATTCAGCAGTGGCTGCGCAATTTAGAACTTGGGTAATTAATGATTCCAGAAACCCCTCATGCCAGGGGATGCTGCATGCACTGATACTGAAAACTGGACCCTTCATAGCAAGCCAGCAATAAAGCCTACTCTTGTCTGTGAATATGAAAAGACTTTACTTCTTTGGAAAGAAGCCTGTTGGTCATTACAGAGGCATTGTTTTACTGCCTGAAGTTTTGAAGAACATGAACAAATTTCTGAATAAGCTGCAAGAAATTTGCTGGGCAGGCCACCTATATTAACCTTTGGTTCTTTCATAAACAGTGGAGTATGGATGACACATGAGTCTGACCAGCATTCACTGTGGATCCACTTACCCTACATCTCTTTCCAGCAATGCCCCCCTATATGTATATAAAAAGAAAGGGGCTGGATCTCATAAGAAAATGGTTAGGAGTGAGGCTTTGTGTACTGCTTAGAAGGTAGAAAAACCTTCAGAGTTTAAGAGATGATGATCTTAAGTTTTTTTAATAAAGCTTTCTAAAATTTTACTTTCTGTTTTTGAATAGGCTATGAACATTGTATAACCTGTCTGTTTTTATATGGAAAGCAAAAAGATATTATTAGGAGGGCTGTATATTTAAAAAACTCTTCAGAAGCTCTTTCTTTTTTTTTTTAATAGACTGTTTACTGCATCAGTGATTGGCATTTGCTGTGCATTTAAACTCAAGGGACAAGTAATAGGTGAATTTGTGAAATTTGCTGCTCCCTTATTTTTCTGCATTTTAAATCAAGATTGTACTGCTGTGCATGGAACTCCCACAGAATGGAAGGAGCAGCTAATGCTGAATGCTTCAGAGACCTTGTGAAGCTCATCAACATCATGGTGATTCACTGCTGGGCCTCATCGAGACACTGCAACCTCTGCCAGAAAGTAATGGATAGGAGGCCCCTAAATGTTAGAGGTTCTTTGTCCAATAAAATGTTCTGCTACAAGCACGTCTGAACTTTGAAAGAAAAGAAAAAAAAATTGTTTTCAAGTTCAGCAAAGTAAATGCATAAACCTATCCCAACTCAGGAATCGATTTTCCACTGCATCCTTTTGTGACCCAATTAGTTTTAAATCTTTATAGTGATTTGCTCACCTGGGTACATAAAAACGAGTAGCTGTATTAAAGGAAGAAATTATTATAATGAAAAATATGAAAAAGGGCTCCTGATCTGAATTTTCTTATGCTTAGCCTTTCACTAAAATCCCTTGGTTTATTTGAAGTTCTTTTGCATTGGAGGATTGCCTTAGTACATTTAACTATGTTTTCAAAACTATATAAGCTGCCCTGTATTCTTTTCTCAGAGACTTATGTCTAAAACTGTGAGGAACCATTTGGAAAATACATCCCAGAATATCAAGATTACCTGTGTGACTTCAATGTCTAGTTACTTATGTCACACTCCAATACAGTTAAATGAACCCCTCCTTCTCAAATCTCTGCTTTTTTGTAATTTCATTTGTATTTGCATTTGTAAAGGAGAAGCGCAGGAAATGATCGAGCCATTCACTCATATAAGTCAGGGACTCAAGTAAGACCCAGGAAGTGTCTTTCTGCTTCTTGGATTTGTAAAGACAAGAGCGTTCCTGCCAAAGCAGGCAGCAACTGCCATTCTCATGTATTTCGTGACACTCTGAACGTGTAAGCTGCCACATGCTGAACATGACAGCAGGGCAGCAAGCTTCGAAGCAGAGGAACTACACGTTTTGATTTGGAACCTAGTGCTCTGAGGTAGAGTGCAGCAACATTCATAAACCTCCTGACTGTTTTAGGATCCCTTTTTTTTTTTTTTTTTTTTTTTTTTGAGGGGAACCCTGAGAAAGCTGTTCCTCTAATTTCAGAATATATATTTGATGAATCTTGGTTTACCCTTCATTCCAATGTACACTCTGAATAAAAATGTTCCCCAGTAGTGAGCTATAAAACACAACATATCATTGATTTTTATGAATTTGTTTGCGAGGCTTACATAGTATGCACAGCTTAAGTTTAAGAAGCTCACATTGGTGAATGAAGACTCCATACAGTCTAATCAAAAATGGATTGTTCTGGGACTTGCTTTGATTGACTCCCTTCTTAGTTCCCATAGTAATTCTGTATTTATATGCAGTAAGCAAACAGCTTTGCTGTCTTTACTGAAGATGATGGAGAACAGTGCACTCTTGTGGGGCAAAATTTAAGCAAGGAACAAAATCCTACCTTTGTGAAAAATAACTTAACTTATACAAGCACTTAAGTAGCTACAGTAAAAGAGGATGAATACTAGTTCCTTTCAGTGAGGTATTTGGGAGTTGCACGGAATGCAGAAGCTCGATTCTATTTTTTTTTCCCAAATAAAAATTTTGTGTTATACAGGAAGGCTTTATCTCTCTCCCATCCCATGATTTTAAATCTGATAGTAAATTTAGGCAGAAATAGTAATAAATAAATAAATAAACACCCTAGTAATTTTCAATTTTTGAGGTATTAAAATCACTAGTATGCAAACGCTTCAATTTAGCAGAAAAGCTAAACACTTCATGATTTTCTGATTTGACAAGACCATCTGCCACTTCATATGAAGAAGCAAGCACACATCCTATCAGACATTATATGCTGCATCATAGCATGGACAGCTCTGTGATGAGAAATTGTGTGATCTAGTCCCTTTGCTATAAAATCTGTCCATTTTGACAGTTTGTTTTAGTAAAACCAACAATGCATGGCATCTATATAGCTCAGACAATTGGTTATCAGACAGACAACCCTTTCATTCTAAATCAATAATTCAAACTGAATGCAGTGACCAAAATCAATCCAATGACCAAAGGTCACTGCAATTTGATGGATGGGTGGTGAGTGGTATGAAATGAGCTTGTGGCTGAGGCCTAGCAATCACAAGCCCTTGTAAGAAACAAAAAGAAAACACCTTCAGATATTTTCTGTGTTGACAGATTTTAGAGAGAGACATATAACTGAGGCATGAACCTCCTTTTCACTCTTAACAGTCCTGGGTCCAAGTGTCGGCTGATGGGTGTCATTTTAAAAATTGCCTTGTTACCTGTTTATTTGGGGAAAAAAATAGATCTGTATGTACCTAACTTTTCATATGCACTTTAGTCAGCTGTAAATATGACCTACAATGCTGTAGACCTAAGAACATTTCCAGTCATGGATATAGAGTCACATCTATAAAACAATGTATATAGTAAAAGAGCTATCTTTCATTCAACATATCTGTTATTATTACCTGCTCCAACAACTTTATCAATGGCTATATTAGAAGCATCTAGTTCCTTGGCAAATTCATGGACAGCTTGATTGGGATCTTCATATGTATGTGGATCTACATAAGTTCTGAGGCCTGGGAGTTTTACTGCATAAAAAAAAAAATTCAGAGAGAAAATGTTACTTTGAGTTGCCCTTCTAAGAAAAGCAAATGAAACAACAGAAATGAAATCAATAAAAAGAAAACAGTACACTGCTTCCTCAAATCGAAGTGCTTTTGACGGTTCTTTAGGAATTCACAGAGAGTGAACATGAAGCACAAAACCAGAGACATCAGTGTAGTTATTACACAAAGCTTTTTGTGTTAAATATACCTGCACTTGCTATATTTGACTGCCCCTCAAATTGTAAAATACTACTTGCCCTCATATCTCTTTAGATGCTGGGTTACGTTGTTCTTTCAAGGTAACTGTACAGGAGCAAGGAACAAAATGAGCGATGCTACAGTCAATATGAAGAAGAAGCGTACATTATTTCAAGCTTTTTCCAAGCAACCTTTGTAACAGATTGCGAAAGACAAGAAAATTGTGTGTGAATAACCTTCTCCCCACCCAAAACCTCTGCTAGTTCTGCAAGGATGGAAACCAGTATTTCTTGTAATTCAAGGTTGGCTCTAGTTCTTCATTACCTCACATGAGTGTTTTTATTTTGTCCCCTTCTTTAGTTCCCCGACTTGTGGTTGTTCGGTTTGCTTGAGGCAAGCACTGATTTTAAGAGTGGTCTCAAGCTCTCCCCCACCAATCCTGCCAGCAGGCCTGGAGGGAGCAGGGCAGGAAAGGAACATATTGTCATTTATGATCTTCCTCTCAGGCAAAGGTGCCGAAGGCAAACCACAGTTTTGTACTTCCTACCCAGTCTCAAGGTCCTGTGTATGGCTTGCACCTGATAACTTGTGTGCTTGTCTCTGTATTCATTTTAAAACACAAAGATGTTTCATTAACAAAAAGTAAAATAACCATTACCTAGCTTTAAGCTTGCCACTTCTGTTTCTACCACAAAACTTGCATTCCTGGACATGTATCCTAGTTTTCCATCACTACATCAGCTGGTTTTATAAAACATATTACCTCCTCCTACAAATATTGCCTGCACTCAGGAATGTCCCTTCCAGCTTGGTATTATTGCACTGTACCAAATTGCTGACCTCTGGTGTAGTTAAGCACATTTTGCTCTAGTTAGGCAGATGGGAAAAATACCCATTGGACCATTAGCTAGAAGATATCATTGTTTTGTCAAACAGTGTATGTGGAAAAAAAACAATCAATTTTATGGAGATTTATTGGCCTTGGGACTGACAAAAAAATTATAAAAATGAGTTCCCAAGCCTTGCAAACAATGCAAACTAAGACTCGTGTTCTGAACAGGAGGGCTGTGTGTGTGCAGCATTAAATGCAGAGTGTGTTTCCTTTAAGAATCTGATGATTACAGAACTACTTGCAAGTAAAACAAAAAGTAATTGGCTGTATATTGCTGTTGGTTAAAAATCTTGTAAATGCTCCTTTCCGTCCATGCTGAATGTACGTTACAGGCTCCTTCATGCCCCCAGTAAAAATAACAACAATTAAAAGTTTCTGCGCTGTAGGGTTTTTGGCTGCAGCATTTTAATGCTGACCCCAGAGGTTCCCAAGATCAGGTGAAGGTGGCTGCAAGGAGAATAATCCCTTCACACCAATAATTAAGGGCAGCCTATATAGTAACTGGGTTCTGTCATGAAAAACAGATAATAAACACATGCACACGTGTTAAGCTGCACTACTTTACAGCTCATTCTGTGCAAACATAATAATTTACATTTTCATTTTACCAGCATGAATTGCCCTAAGGGTAGCAAAAAAATAAAAATGCCCTAGCCAAAGAAGGCAAAGGCAGAAGATCTGAGGAGGTGAAACACATTTTTGCTCCTTTGAAGTAATATTATAGGATTTGTAATAAGGCCGCAGGGAATAGTTCATGGCTAGAACCCTTTTTTAAAGTAATTCAGAATAAACTGACTGAAATAAACCAGCTGCTGTATTTAAGATGCAGAAAGTTTATGACAGCCGTGGAAGTTACTTTATCCTCTTAGTTCATAGAAGCAATCTCTTATGCTTTGAAAAAAAACTTTAAAACAGCAGAAAAATAAGGTTTCAATAGCCATACACACACAGAGAGAGATCCTAACAGATAAATATCAGCAAAATCGATGAATCTTTCTCAGGAATTTCTAAGAGAAAGGCCAGAGTCATGACTGGCTGTGTTCTTACTATACACGGGATCAGCATGGCACTACTCAGAAAACAGTACATAAATATCTAAAGCCAAATTAAATGCAATTTAATCCACAGGAATTTAACTACATCGACAGTTTAAGAACAGTGATTGCAACTTTCCATTGTGCGGGTGTAAGGAGAGCAAACTCTGACCTGTTATTTGTCTGTAACACTTTTTTTACTGGCTGTTTTTATTTTATAACCTAATTAAATTTGCATGATGAAGCATTAATTCTATGGGCCACATGTAACTGTGCAGACTTTTTTGAGCCTGGTTGGTTAGTTGTCAATGGGAAGCACGAGGCAAATCTTCTATCACGGCATGACAGTGCAGAGGGAGTATACGTACCCACAAGCACGCATATGCACATGGCTAACTTGAGATCAGGAAAGGCTCCAAAGTAAAAATAATAACAATACGAAGAGTCAGAGATCAGTTACACTATTGCCACTATGACTAAAAAGCAGTTCTAATTTCTAACACCTGCAGTTAAATTCTTCATTAAAATGTTAACTCAACATTTCAGTATGTGGTGGGGGAAGACACCTGATTATGATACCGATGGGTGTATTCAAGTAGCAGCAGCAGTGCTACTGTCATGTGCAAAAGACCCATCTAATAATAGCAAAAATAGTTTGGAGTTTCGCTTTGGAAGACATTTAAAGAGTATGCCAGGTTACTCAGGATGAGTAAGATTTTATAACCTTAGCTATACAAAGCATTTTCCTGAATATATGTAAGTTTTAGATGCAAAGACTGCTTAAGTCAAGAGAAAGGCTTTCATCCTAGTTGTGGACGGGACTCCCCAAAAAAAGACAGCTAAACTCATTCTTTTAAGTAGGCAAATAGGCCTTGACTAAAACATATTCCTAAACAGAGTTGGATTAAGTAATCCCATTAATTTTTAAGTGAGATACTCACTTAAAGAAATTACTTAAACTAAGTAACTTTAAAAATTAAGAATCATACACTAAGGAACTTGAGAATCTTCTTTTTAGCCTATGCTTAGAATAATTCCAAAATAAATTTATTAGCAGATCCAGCTTTGTCCAGCAAGCAATTTTTACAGTCCCTTCAGAAGTCATCAAGGCAGGTTTCATTGATTTTACATTTTGCTTTGGAAAACAAACAAACAAACAAGAAAGATTTTATACAGTTGATAATGAGGAAGTTGAAGTTCTGCATTTCAGCAACTGCATGCACAGCAGAATCAATATCATATTACTAACCACAAGTACTGTTTGAACATAGACAGCAACAATTCACTCATTACTAACCTTAACATGGATGAAAGATTTTGAAATAAAGACTAATTGGTATGGGGAAAATTTTCTAAACCACAAGAGAAGACAGAATTCTCTTCCCAATTTAATCTACATTGAAGGGAGGTATGACTGTTTTCTTTTTTTTTAACTGAAAAATGCTAATTATCTTGGGGCTGAATTCAGCAGAACTGGATGTGTGAAAAGATATCAGTAACTTACAATGGCCATTTCCAAAATGTAGTCTTTTCTCATCAGTACCATGCTTAGATTTCTTGTATCCACAGAATCTACAAGCAACAGGAAAAAAAAATTAATATATAAAATTTTATATGTTAGCTGCAGGTGGAAGCAGAATAAAATGTTTTCCCTCCACAATTAAATGCCTGTTTGAAAGTTTAATGATATTTACATTCTCTGTGCCCTATAGAGGCACGTTATGTTCTCAGGGAATTTGAGGAAATTGGCTAATGAGAGGATTTGTTGATTTTTGACCCCTACAGTTTAATTTTACAATTGCCTAAGAATGTGTTTATAGCATTTTTTAACAACTGCCGCATGATTGGGGCTGCTAACGCTCGCAGGCTCATTACCAAGCGTAGAGCAGTGCTCCGAGCTCCTCGGCAGCGCACAACGGAGAAGGTGCAGAGCAGCCACACCGAATACCCGCTCTGCATTCGATTCACTCTGCTCATCGAGGCCCCAGTGGGAAATGGAAGTGTGAGGGAATGTGTAAAACAGATGATAAACGAACCTCCCAATCAGGACATACACCACAACGGTGAGGAGAATAATGGCCACCGCCGCTGAAATGGCAATCATTACGACCTGGCTATTCTCGCTGGAAATGGAGAATGCTGGAAAGTTAACAGAAAAATGGATAAATAACCTCCCCACAAAATATTGTTTACATCACAATTAACATTCATAAGGGAACAGACAGGTTAAGTCATCACTGTATAGTTTTTGGCTTCCTGGCAAATATTATCTACTAAGTAATTTTTCATCAGACAAATACAAGGAAAGAATGGAAAAGACTTCTCTGAAAATGTACAAAAAGTTGTTGCTGCTACGGCTATTTTTTTAGTGTTGCTGATTGCAGTAACTGCTGAAAAACCTACATCTATATTTATACATAGACACAAACAAATATACAGATATATAACCCAGCTATATATGTTTTTTTTTTTCGGTCATGGTCAGTAAGGAATTTTTCCTTGGCAGGAATTCCCAGACAGTTGATAATTATCATCATTATTCTCACTTCTGCATGACAGAAAGTGCTTTAATGAATTAAACTGCATAACTAACTTCATAACTTTAATGAATTATGCTTCATGGTACCACTGTGAAGGCTGACAAAAGGCTGGGCACACAGCTGCAGACAGAAGGACTCTCTACACTAAGTCAATGTCTACAGGAGAAAAGGAATGCTTTTTCTACCTAACTTTGAATATTTCCTTGCAATGCCTAAACACGGTGCTCTGCTGTACCTGACTGCTACACAACGACAGGTCACCTTTATTTCATGGGTATGTTGAACCATCCTCTGCAGATCCTTATCAATCTTCACTGAGTATAGCAGAGTTAGAACTACTAAGCTGAACTGGGCTTCCAGCTACCATGCCAGTTGTCCAAAGAGAGCTGAAAGATGGCTTTCCTATTCCACACAATTTTGGCAGTCTGTTTGGATAATTCTTTGCAGTCACATCACTCCGCTCAGAAAGAAATCTCTGCTTACAAGTGATGAGTCCTGGCTAATATTTGGTAGATTAAAAAACTACAACTGCATTGGTGCAGTTACGATAGTTTAGCAATCGTAATCTCATTACATATTTTGGGACCTATCTGTACAATCTGAACCCCTCTTACTGAGATACATGCATCACTGCCTCCTGTCACCTCCCAAATTTTTGGTCAGATGCTTCTTAACTTTTAAGTTTTTAATTTTTTTTTTTTACCCTCACAACATCCCTACAACTGATTTTATTTCCCTTTTTCTCCTCATCCTATTTTGAGATCCAGTGTCATCCATCATAATTAATTATGATGGAAGGGGGAAGGGGAGTGGCACACTGAAGAACTGAAGTTGGGTAAGGAAAAGTGGGGATGAAACACGCAACAAAACTCAAAAAAAATACCAGGATGTCAAGTCCCAAATTATTTGGCTTATGCTACTCTTCTTCATCAGAATTTGTTGCTTCTAATCACATTTCTTTTGCCATGGGTTCTTAAGCCTTATTATGAGTACATGATGAAGCCTTAAGACTGTTTAAGCCTTTGAACAATTATAATCCTGAGTTGGTTTACAACTCTGGACAGTGGATAAGAGTCTTCTGTAAAAGTCCTACTTCTAAGGAGTAAACAGTCTCTTGCTAATCGTATGAAATTTGGACTAAGTGCATCACTCTGCATTGATAACTGATTACCTAAACAGAGACTTTCTGATGCATTAAGCCGCTTTCAGCTTCTAGTAAAGAAAAAGTCTGATTTACTGTGTAGTATTTAGTGAAGAGAAAGTAACATCTAAGAGTCTTTCTAATGTAAAAACAGAACTTGAAAAGAATACTGATAAGGTTAACAGATAGTAAATATTACTACAGCATTACAGAAAAGACAAAAAAAAAAAGAATGCCAGGCCAGAAAATAACTTGTCCAAGGATATGCAGCAATTTAGTGCCAGAGATGAAAAAAGGCAGACTGACCAAATTTCTGACTAGCTACTTAACTGAATGACTGTCCTTCCTGGCCTGTGCACATTAGTTTCATGCAAAGGTTGCATAGGAGAAAGTGGCTATGTTCCTCGCTAGGGAAAATTCCTCACTGATCCATGTGACTAACAGACAGATAAGATATACTTTCTCTCGAAGCATGCAGTTCATACTGCAGCAATATAAAGCTAAGCACCTATTATTGTATTAAGCTTCTTGTCTCAGGAGGAGCTGCAGCCTAGCGAAGTACTGATCCCGGCATTAGGTAACAGTAGGGAAAAGTAGAAAGAAAATACCACCTGTGATATTTTTTACAACATGTTTCCATTTTTATGACAAAACATAAACTTATATAGAAATATTACCACATCATAAATAGTTATGAGTCACATTTACTAAACTAGAAAAGGAATGAAAACAGCCATTCAGATCAGTCAGAAATAGGATGGGATCTCAATTCAAGACATTTTAAACAAATACGTACAATCTGGACTGGTTTCAAATTCAAACTTGCGGCTGTTTGTCCCATATCCAGCTGCGGTTCGGGCTTGAATTTGGAACACATAGGTGGTATCAGGTTTGAGGCCATTGATAGTAACGTTGGTGCCTTTTGCTCTTAGAATAGTATAGCTTGTCTCTTGTTCCTGCTTTTGGGAAGAGAAATTATCAGATTAAAACCACATCCTAGAACAGAAGCAATAGATGGCATAAAATTATTACAAACACCTGGAGATTACTGCCATATTTTGAGTATTTATAGCCTAACAAAAGCTTGTGCAGCCATTCACTTTCAATCTACTAAAAATCTGTTGATTAACAAGGAATTTAAATCATTAGAGCTTCTATAGCCTTGTGCTGTAAATCAAACACTAGTGCTAATATATGACATTTCATTAAATGGCTTTGTACTGTATTTGTCCACAGCCTGCAGTATGACAAGAAAATAAAGATTAAGGCATCATTTGAAAACCATAAAACAGTTCTGCCTACTGCACCAAATTGGAAGTGGTAATAAGCCAATTTAGAGCTTTTAGGGCCTTGAAGGGCTATTGCAGGACTCGTTTTTTACTGCCTTCTGTTTTATAAGGCAGCGTTTACCCTTTATAACAGTCAGAACAGAATTCTACTCAAACTCCTTACCCTAGTTCTGCGAACAAGCTAATATAACTGGTTTACTATTATGCCATAAAAACTACAAGCTTGATGCGTCAATCCTCATTTGGGCAAAACCCCACTCAACGTGCTCCTGAGCAAGGCCTAGCTTTAGTAGTCGGAAGGACACATACGATTACTTCTTACTGCTTTTCGTTGAAGAGCACAATGTATGGCTGATACAGATGATATGGCTCACAGTTACACTTTGCTTAATAAAAACACATTCCTGACATAATGAATTTTCGCATGAAATGAAAAATAGAACACTTTCTAATTGAGTAAGTTTGAATACACTTCCACACTGCGCAAAAACCTAATTCTGATAAAAATATGTCTCAGGCCCACTGTAATCACATAGTCTAAAAATTTAAACATGCATTTGGGGCCAGGGGTATTGCTTATATAACTAAAGCCATCCTGAACCAAAAGAGTGTTTTGGCCTCCTAAAAATGGCAGCTGGAGCTGCCTTGGAGAATATCTTGGAGAGCAGCCACACATGTGGGAAACTCCAAAACTCAGTTAGGTTCACAAGGATGACTTTTTTTTTTTTTTTCCAAGTTTGGGAGATTCCATATGTTGCCCTGTTGCTTTGAACAGTCTCAAATACACTAAACTCTCTGAGTTTTGCCTAGTTGAAGGCAAAATCAGAGTTAAACTAATGTATGTTGTAAGCAAACAGTCTCACGTGATTTCCACTATGTTTTATGGTATGGTATTTGCTTGCAAGGTGCTGAACTTCTAACTTTGACAAGAAAATACTCTGTGCTAAGGCAGACGTACTGAGGTTGGAAAATATTCAGCATATTCTGATTTTCTAAGCCAGATCATCCTCCTTATGAACAGTTCAGTGACTAGCACTATTTTACTATGTTTGTTCTGCAGTACTGCCTAAAGTACAAGTCTTAGGTTTAGTCTAAGTTGCTCAGCTAACACCGGAAGCTATTCACTTCCATGCTAAAGAATCTGATTACACTATTCTTGGCAATCTCTAACACGGACAGAGCCAGAGATACTTACATCATAGACAGAGAAATTATCAGTCTGAACACATTATTTAGCATTATGCACATTAGTAAACACAGTGAAAAAAAATGCTACGTCGTACCTAAAAGTTACCATCCTGAATCAAAACCTTAAACAGGATGAAATAGAAATATTCTTCAGAGAACATAAAGCCTATATATAAAACCCTATATCATGGTCCATTTTGTGCACACTATGGATGAAAAAGAAATCAGCATTAGATTTTTTTACATGGTTTTCTGACCTTTCTCTGAAAAAGTTGTACATTTGGAGGCAAAAAACTTACAGAAAGGCATTCTCAGGAGAAAACAGCTTTGTCTTTTGCACTAACAAAGTCTCTTTTACACTAACAAAGGCAAAGTATTTTAATTAGCAGGCTTTGCTTTTACTACCTCATCATTCAGTTGAATATAGGCAATCATTTCAATTTCAAAGACATAATAATCTTTTCTTTAAAATATAAAATCTTTTGTGTATGCTATGGCTGGACATTCATTTTGATCTCACTCCAGGCTGCTTTTACGAAATGCAAACATTTCCTTCTTGTTCAGATACATACCTGCAAGGGAATATATGATCATGGCCATGTCTGTTAATAATCCTCAATGGAACTTGAAAAATAAATGTTTAAAATAATAGTATGGAGGATGTCATGGTATCTCAGTTTATGGTAAGGTTTTTAGGCACAGATTTTGTAAGTCATTTTTTATGTTAGTAGTAACCAAATCAATGAAACACCACATAAAAGCTCAAGTTTATCTTTCCTGAGGATGAAGTAAAACTTCTGAGATACAGCACTATAGCAGCCATAAGCAAAAGGAATATACAAAAAGGAGAGCCAGTCTTTGCCAAGCAGAACTTTAATCATCACTCAACTTGATGATGAATTTAACTTGGATGTGTCAAGGGTATTCTTCTTGAATATTTATCTATAGTTTTCTAGACACAAACCCTAATGGGAAGAAAATCCTACTACTGTATCTCATATCTCTGTTCTACAATAGATATTTTGGATATATTTAATATATGGTGGTACTAGTGAGCGAATGGTATGCCCTTTTTCAGACAACTACGGTATGTATTTATAGTATATGAGGAAGAACATTCAACATGTCAGCTGCAGCTTGTACACTTTAGCAAAGTTATGTTTTATCATAAACACCTATCTTCTTAATACTTGGCTTTATATTTGAAACAGGACTTGATTTCTTTTAAATATTCTGAATACTTGGTACCTGGTTGAATAGACTTACAAATAGGCTTTGGTTTTGTGGAAAATACAACTCTATTCCAAACAATGAATCTCAAAGACTGTCACTGTCATTTCATAGTGTTATGCATTAAAATCCAGTACGTTAATTTCAAAAAGTTAAAATACTTTCCCACAACAGCAGCTCCTAACTTACTAAGAAAGATCATAAAAGCCTTATTTTTCTTGGCTTAACAAGTGAAAATCATTGCTGATAAAAACTGAATACGCTAAACTTGCAGAATATAAATACTTTTTCACAAACTTTATGCCAATAATGCACAAGATAAACTACATTACATTAGCATTTAGATATAGGAAGTCCAATTTTTCTTCCAAAATTATCTTAATATTAATGTCAGTAACATTTAATTGTCCACAAATATCAATTACTCTTAGAAAACTAACAATTTCATGTAAAAATTTGCATGGACAAGGTGCATGACAGAACTGGAGGGACCTGTAACAATCTATTAACAGTGTATATATTATTTCCTGAATAATTAGGAAAGGTACTGGCAGCAAAAACAAGCAGGAAGGAAAACAATGGCTCAACATGAATCACCTGCCAACAAGCATATTTGACTTGTCAGGAGAAATACCCAGATTGCTAACTGGGAAAGCTTTATTTCCTAGCACCTGCCACTTAACAGCATTGTTTTCAAGATGGGCAGGACTGGGGTGATTTCTGAAGCAGAAAATCAGTAAGACTGGAGCACTTTACAAAGAACAATCACTTTTGAAAAGGGATGTGTGAGAAGGGGCTGCCTATAGATCTCACATCACAAGTAGCATCTTTCTAAGCTCTCTGAAGAATGAATGAAGAGTAATAATCCAGTACAGGCTGGCCTGGCTTTAGGTAAGTTTAACATGTGCACATTTACTAATCTACAGGATCTTTTCAACCTTTTTCAATTTGCAGACCTAAAAAGTGCGGTGGATTAAAGCCTCCTGACAACAGATTTGCTTTTCTTCGTTACCTTTCATAAACCCTGCGGAACAGGCTTCTGACTCCCCAAGGGGCTGCAGACCACACATTAAAACACTGGTGTCAGAAGGCTGTTTTTTTAAAAACCCCTTTGCTCTAAATGGTCTAGCTGTTATTGTTAAGCAATTGGTTCTTTGGTTTAAGAAAGCTGTCTGGTGCATACGAGCTCTTGATCAGAGACTTCAAAGGGAAGAAACACATGTGCAAGATCAGCCTCATAAGACTGGCTGTCTGATGAAGCTGTCTTACATCAACCAGTTGCTCCCTAAGACTGACTGCTTCCTAAGACAGGATAGACACAGTGGGAATAGCAGCCACATGCTCGGTCCGTGCGTACAATACTACCCGAAACCGACAAATTTATTAATGAAAGGAGTCAACTCAACATCCTTTAGAACCATGATCCCAGAACCACTGGGAAAAACAAAACAAAAAACCTCAAACAAATACACAAAATCACTTATTTACTCAAAGTGAATGAAATCCTCACAAAGAGAAAAATTCTCTACATTGGGAGTGACAATCCTCAGATTAATTTGACACCAAAATAAGCAACGCTGTTGAGTATTATATCCTGAAGTGCACTGCACCCTCACAGAACTGCCTCAGGAAAGGCCTTCCAATGGCAAAGATTGGCCTTGAGGCGGAGAAGAGGCTGCTGCAGCTCTCCAGAAACAAAGTTACTGTCAACAGCAGTAAGAGCAGCCAAGTAGGTCTCAAATGTCTCTTTGTAATGCAAACAGCTCTTTTAATAGAAAATACTTTCTATTGAAAGGTAGTATCCTTTTTTTTTTTTCCAAAATACTTTCTATTGAAAGGTAGCATCCTTTTTTTTTCTTTAAAAAAAAGAACATGGACATGTCAAAAATGCAGAATACTGAAACCTAAATAATTACTATGTGCTTTTACTGCCGAGAATTTATAAAGACTATCTTATAAGCTGCTGTTTCTTTACACATCCTCAAGTCCAGGATCTGGACTGGATCCTATCCTCATTGATATTAACAGAAAAAACATGAAGTGAACTGGCAACAGAAAAGGCATCTATAAGCTATTGCTTTCTAAAGTGAGGCTGAAGCAATATGATATAGGAAGCTTTCCTTCTTCCCGTTTATCAGTAATACTGAGTACGTTTAGATTTTTACCAAGGTCTTTCAAAGTTCAAGTGCTCATCAAAAATCACCCACATCAGATGGTCTATTAATCTGTGAGAAATTTTTTCAGAATATGGCCCTCAGAGTGCCCCTCTTTGGCTGAAGATCAAGTAGGACTATTGATATCCCACTATTCCAGTGACAAGTTCCATGAGGAAGATTTTTTAAAGGCCAACTGAATAGTCGTGGATACCAGTTTCAAGTATTCCCTGGTACACATGAAGTATAAACCTGACTTCTACGCATTAACCATATCGGTAAATGCTAAGCCATTATTTATGCCTTTATTTATTTCCAAGTTTTGTCTACTTTGTCAGCAACATATTCTATCGAAAACTCTCTAAAAATGGTCTGTCATTCTTTAGAATCTTCACAACAACTTTTGGTCTTTTCATGTCTGTTAGTAAAGCTTACAAAAAGCCCATTTTGTTATGAGATTTAATTATTTTTACTACATACAGATCCAGTATATGAAGCAGTAAGAAACTGTTGGAAGTACAAGAGAACTTCAGAATAAAACGGAACTTATTCAATTGCAGATTTTTCTTGGTTTGCAGTTATTTAGACACACTATCAAGAATTCAGTTATTCATGAAAACTGGGAACCTTCACAGTATGAATCATTCACTAAAAGGATAGCCTGTCTTTTCAAAACCATCTTTGTGCAAAATACGTTTGTGCCACAGGGAAGCACATGAATATATGAATGCTGACAATGTAATGTATAAACATTGACAGCATAATAGAACTGAGTAAATATACTGTAATCGAAAAGGGAAAAAAAAATATGGGTTATATCTTCTCTGTATTGCTTCTATATTTGTTCTGAAACATTTTGTGATGAATTTAGTAGGCAACACTGCTTAACAATTCCACTTCATACTTTCAGGATATCTTCCTTACCCAAAATTGAACAGCTTCAACACTTAGCACCACTGAGGAGGAAAGCAAGCGAATGGAGTTGTTTCTGAATCCACAACACAGGAAAGATATCATTCATTACAAAATGATCAGCACTGAACCACCCTCCCCCTTCAGTCTTTCTTCCCACCTTTTCATAGTATTTGACCTCATAGTCCAAGATGATCCCATTTGGATGTTCAGGTTCTTGCCAAGACAGAGACACGCTGCTCCTGGATGTCCGGTCTTTCCTAATTACTGTGATAGGGGATGGAGCTGTAACGGAGAGAAAAAGGAAGAGAGAAAAACAAATTGAGTTTATCTCTGTTCTAATCCTTGCCAAAGAGCATTGTTTCCAATTTAAAATGCTCATGAGCATTTGTGTCAACATTCAGCAGCTGGATTACAGTCCTGGTACACATGCCTTAAAGCATACTGGACCAAAAAGAAAATGAACCGAGATTTTCTGTTAGACGGACAGACTAGTGGCAAGAAGGCAGATGGTTTCAATCTGCTACTACAGGGTAAGCAATGAAAAACACTTGATATATTAAAAAGAGAACAAAACAACAGTACTACCTTTTTGTTATAATGCCGAAGTATTATTATTACCAGACCCTGCAGAACGCTGCTAACATTTTCATGAGCAAGTGTTAAACAGTGCTGGAATGCAATATGTGCAAGGAGCTCCTGGTATCCACAGCTAGTAACAATCAATAAAGCCTCTTTTACAGCACTATTTGGTAAGCTCCCCAGATACAAATTTCTCCCATATATGCTATTCTTTTACCACATTTATTCGAAAATGAAATCTCAGTTTAAAAAATATCTAAAATCTAAACTGCAAAACAATCTCATTTCTGATCTATGTTAATCACAGTTAGGCATGACAATCAATAGTATACCACAAACTCACCCATGACCTGAAAATTGGAAGCATCAAAAGTGTTTCAAGAAAAAAAAAAAGTCATTACCTAAGATTCTTTAAGACCATTTTGTCTTTAGACCACCCAGTTCTGCACATTGTTCTAAAACCAGGCCTAGATTTCCTGAAATCATAGCAGATACCCCAAAAAAAAAAAAAAAAAAAAAAACCCACTTCCTTCTTTTGCGTTGGCTTCCCACTTCAAATGCCTCTCTCTCATGGTTTTGGCCAAGTTTCATCAGAAGATAACTTACAGATCACACATCAGAGGTCATAACTGTCATTTTGAAAAAATCTTTTACTAATAAACTGCCTTTTATCTTACTGTGTAAAACAAACGTGTTTATAAGTTCACATTGTGTTATCCTAATAAAAAGGCACTAGCTGATCTAAACAACTTTATTTCAGCTGAATCTTATGAAATTTTTACTGTTCATATAAAACTAATTGCACTTTTCAAGCATTATATATTTGCATGAACTAACCAGCGTTCTTTGTATTTCAGCTTTCATTGCTATAAGAGACCTTTCAAAAGCCAGAAAAAAATTAATCCTAATTTAAACATTTTTGGAATAAAAATGCATGCTATATTTGATTTTGCTAAGCTTCATCAAAGTATACTTTCTAATCTTGACTCATAACTAAATGTTGACATCCACCTTTATTTGACCAAAGAAAGCTGCACACACCCACACAAGCACATATGTATATACACACTTGCATATCTGCCCCGGGCAGAAAGAACTACAAATACTCTGAAAAACATTTTTACATGCCACCCAGCTTGAAATACCTTTCCTAAAACACTGAGAAGGAAAAACATAAAAGAAAAAAATCCTCTTTTTTTTTCCCTCCAAATGGAATAATTTATCCTGAAGTTACATAACTGAAATCAGATTTTAGAGTTTCATAGAGTTTCAGAGTTTTATTTTTTTAAGTGGTATGGGAAAAGAAAGAGTCCCTTGATTTTATTCAGACTCAGCAAATCTGTGCTTCCTGAAAAGCATTAGGACAAGGGATACAGGACTGATGCGTAATGAACCTTCTTCTGTATTTCCACTAAATCTTAGGCACAAACCGGTGCTGGAGCCAAAAAATGAAGCAGGTAGCGAGCTGGACTGCTCCCGCTTTATGTTATGCGGCTCGCTGCTTCTGTGCTCTTGGAAGTCATTTTTGCCTTCTTTTTAAGTTAGACCATTTATCATTTTTCGATTTGAATAGAGTGCCAAGCCCAGTCCTCCAGCTGGTAACACTTCCCATTAAGGTAACATTAATACAGATTTTATGAATAATTAATATATGATTAACAGAAATGTTTTTTCCCCCTAATAAATTATGGTAATTTGTACTATAACACATTCCCTGTGTAGGCTGAAAAAAATCTTATATCCTTCAATACAGATGTGCTTTAAAAAAACTTTTTTCTAACACAGTAGTAATTATTCTAAACTCATTTACACAAATCTCTAGAGAAGCTAGCAGTAACAAATCTCACAGCAGTTTATTAGAAAAGTGCCTGCATTGCAGTTATCAATAACATTATAAAACATTCATACAGCTCTTCGAAGCCCCGGGTTGGCTAAAGCTGCTTAGAAATTGTACATACATAGTGCTTGAAAAAGACAACATCTCATTCCTTGACCAAGTGGAAGGGAGTTTGATACTCATTGGGGAAAAAAAAAAAAAAAAACCCTTTAATTCCATGCAAAGAGCAGATTTGAGCTCTACCAGATGACTCTGCCAGCTTCTGAGTCTTTCACTCCATGAAAGTATATATCCCAAAAGTGTTTAAACCACCAGCTTACCTGACTATAAAGGTGACTGAAATTACCTAGTTTTAAAGTGTTAACCTTGAGTATATAAACATTTTTTTTCAGATGTTCCACAAGTAGATAATTTATTTCTAGAGGATAAACCACACTATCCATATTCAGAGTGGAAGATATATAAATCAAAGAGATTTAACTCTTTGAACATTCATATACACTATATTTTTCCCATTTTGTTCAACCATCTTTTATCATCTTGTCTATCATCTGAACATTTTAATTTTGAAGTATATATGATGTTACAAATAAACACCCAATACTGTGGTAGAGATTTCAAAATTTTCCTGCCGTTCCCATCGTCTCTGTGCATCCATTTTGGATATTAGAAACAACAGCTGACTTTGATCACTCTCCATTATTGATGCACAAAACAGAGCCTGGATGTCCCTCGGGAAAGTCTCTCCAAGTCGTTCCTCCTCTAGCATTGTTTCATCTATGAAGCAAACATCTATATCAAGCCCAGGGCTCTTCCAAACACCGACAGAACTGAACTGTGTTGCTCCCAGGATGAGCTCAGTGCCAGGATAATCCTTCTACAAGAAGGGCAGTATGAGGGAAAAGGGATAAATCTTGAACCGAGTGTGCCCAGTAAGCAGGCTTGCGGCTCCCTCACTGCTCTGAGACAGCTGAAGCACTAAGCCTGACCTTCCCAAACCAGACTCCAGTAAAAGCAAGAAGACAGACGTGACGCGGCTATTCTGCTCATCTGTCACCCACCACAACTTAGAGACAAAACCTCTTTTTCTATATATCCTACATTGCTTTTGCTGTGTCTAGAATGACTCCTCGGTTAACACGAGCTCAACAGAAGAACATGAGCTAATAAGTCTCCAGCTAGATCAAAAAGAGGTAAAGACAAAAATTTTCCAGCACAGCATGTGGCATAAGCTTTCTCTCCTGGTCTTCAAAAAACTGGACACTTTTAAATATTGATACACACATTTTCATTTTTCTACTGCATCTGCCAGATAGATAGGTATGAAAGGTCCTTAAAACTAATGTGTTCAGAATGCTGTTAAGTCTATCATCTGTCTACTTCGATCAGTGGAGTTGGTCATTGGAGATACAGTAGAAGTTAAGGTAATCTATATGTTGTCCTACCCAAGGAGAGTTACACGACTATAGAAATGCCTTTGTGATCTGAGTCTTCATTTCAGGTTTTCAGGTTGTTTAGGATTATCTTGACATTTAACTGAGGAATTAATCTTTTTTGTACACACCCCTAGTATATAGTTCAGTAAGTCAAAAATATAAACTCTGCCTGTGGATATATATTTATTTTCCTACATTTTATTTTTTTGAGTGTTCTTGAATATGTCCTCTAGAGCAGAAAAGGGCTAGCTCCAACTGAGTCATCAAATGTCAGAACAACTATTTCTGGCTCAAAGTAGCCTACATTTCCTATGAATTGCTCCATTTTGTAACAATTAATCCTTCCTTCTCACCAGAAGGATTGATTTACTGTATTCTACTGCTTCCTTTGCAGAATCTGAAAGTCCAGAAAATAAAGGAGCAGAAATCAAAGGAAGTTAACATTATAAATTCTTAAGCAATGAAGACATCACCATAAGCAGTAGCACATATAGTCCTTTAGTCCTTTGAATGGGGAAGAGAGAGCTTGAGAGCTTCCTACTTCCTGAAGACCATTAAGTAAGTACAGCAGGATGAAATTAAAGTCAAAAGCATGCTACAGAAAGGAACAGAAGCACTTCATGTTTAGAATTGTCCATTTCTCATCACACTTCCAGGACTTTTTCGTCGAGTAAAAGACAATCAGTGTGTGCAACAAGAGAATACTAGAACAAATATTTTAAATGGCTGCAGCTCTGATTGTCAAAACAATTTTGTAAGTCCAATCTAGCAAAAATAGCATAATTTTATATATAGCTATTTTTATATAAATAGGAATTGCTTGAATCTTCTTCATTATTAAAGCACCAACACGCTAGATTAATTAAACATTCAGGCAACACATGTTTTAAGGTAAAAAGCAGAGAGGTTTTTTTACACTAAAAAGTTGAATAAACACAATTTCAGTGACTTTCAGAAAGAGTATCTCCATACACTTATTTTTTATTAGTGTTCTGATCAATGTAACTCAACTTCACCACTGTATATATATATTTTTATATATAATTAACTTCAGGCATATATGGGCACATACTGAGAAGTTAAGTCATTTCTGCAAGAAAAAATGTTTATTCTCAATAGTCACATGAAATGCATACAGAGACTTTTTTATGCATCAGATGGTTACTATTTGTATGGTACTACAGTCTAACTGGTTTATGACTAGTTTAAGCAGTTAATATGAACATTCAAAACTCCCTAGAGCTACAAGGGGAAATGTACTTTGAGCACTCAGTGTTGTTAGGTAGCATTTGTGGCAACTGGGAATGTGGATGTTGAAAAGCTAACGAATGCAATGATCCAGGGAGCTTAGATTCACAAGTGTAAAAACCTCCTCACTCATGACTATTAAAGGTGCAAGCAAGTAACATGAAGGATCTAGCAGAGAGCAC